AAAAAAAAAAAAAGAAAAAAATGCAAACCCAGAAGTGTTTCAAAGATGTGGGGCAGCTGTGCCCCTGATTCACTACTGAATGAAAAAGGGCTGCCATTGGAGTTAGCCACAGGTACTGCTGATTATAGGGCCAGTAAGTTTTAGTACCTGAAAGTATGTCTTGCTGAGGGCTTGGGGTGGGGTTTGGGGTTGTTTTTTTTTGGGGKKGGGKTKGKTTYYKKTKRAWTTTTTTTTTTTTCTTTTTTTGAAATCATTTGTGCCAATGAAACGGAGATTTTGCGCCGCGAGAAGGCTGAGGTGGCTCTAGGATTTCCTTCGGGCTGTTTTGGTGGGGTTTGCTGCTGGAATTCCTTCTGGAATAGGGGCAGGATGGGGAATGGTGTGCTCTGCTCTGAGCTGGGTGTTCCCCAGGGTCACAACACCCATGGGTGGGGTGTGAGAAACACCCCCATCCTCGAGTTTTCTGCTTTTTGGGATTCCAAACTGAGCATTGTGCCCATCCCAGGACACTCAGAGCATTTTTGGCACTGTGAGGTGCCTTTGCTCACAGTCAGGATCCTCCTGCTTCTGACACCAAGCGTTTCCCTTCATCTCCTGGCAGGGAATCTCCTCTGTCCCTGTAGGAAAAATCCCAGCTCTTGTTCTTCCCCCAGAAATCCCAGGATGAGCTCAGGGAGCAGCAGGCACAGGGGGCAGAGGGGATTTTGGGGTTGGGGCTGCAGCCCTGGGAGGGGAGGGAGGAATTCCTGTTGTTTTCAGAGCCCAAAGCCTTCTCCACGCTGCCAGGAGCTTCCTTTTGGGATTACTGTCATTTTTTTGGGATTACTGTCATTTTTTTGGGATTACTGTCAGTATTAACCCAGCTCTTCCATTGCTCATGGATGGGCTCTCCCCTCCTCACCTCAGCCACACAATTCCCTGGGTTATAAACATCCAAACTTCCTCAGAAAATCCCCCAGATGGGAATGGTGCCATGGATGGTGCCAGGAAGGGAACTGGGCWACAGCCAGGTTTGGGGTTGGACCTTTTCCCCCCTCACACCCCAAAAACAGGAGCAGTTATTGTGACCTGAGCTGTGTAAAAACTTCCTAGAGGTCAACAGGAAATGATTCCTGAATTCCARAACAGAGGGAGCTTGGTCTGGCTGCAAAAGAACGTTCTGGAAGGTGGGGCTGGGTGATTTCTGATCATCCCTTGGGGTTTGACACTGAATCCCAAGGTCTGTGATRGTTCTGTTCCCTTATTCCACCTCTGATGGTGGTGGCAGCAGTGGGAAATGTGGCCATGCAGCATGGCTGGGTGCCCGTGGTGGCATTTTTATTTCTGTCTCAGCCTTGTTCGAGTGGCTTTGTCCCCAAATCCCTTCGTTCTGCCCTGCTGGGACCCGGGGTGAGGGGCAGCTGTGTCCCTGTCACCTCCAGGATGGAAAACGGGAGAATTCCCTCTCTGTGCCGGGCTGAGGGTGGCACAGGAGCCTCTGGAGCAGCTGGCACGGCCAAAATCCAGAGCAGGGGGTGGCAGAGGGGCTGGAGGAGCTCAGAGGGGCTGCAGGAAGGTTGGAGGAGCCCAGAAAAGCTGGAGGAAGGTTGGAGAGCCCAGCTCATGTGACCCCAGTTTTATGGGTGGCATCAATCCCACTCTGGGCTCTGTCCTGGCTGAGATTTCAGCTGTGGATCCTCTCACAAGCAGGGAGAAGGATGGTGGGACTTGTTCCTCCCTGGCATCTCCTTTTTCCTCCCTCTTTCCTCCCTCTTTCCTCCCTCTTTCCTCCCTTTTTCCTCCCTTTTTCCTCCCTTTTTCCTCCCTTTTTCCTCCCTTTTTCCTCCCTTTTTCCTCCCTTTTTCCACCCTTTTTCCACCCTTTTTCCACTCTTTTTCCACCCTTTTCCCTCCTTTTCCCTCCTTTTTCCTCCTTTTTCCTGCTTTTTCCTCCTTTTTCCTCCCTGCACCTCTCCTGTCCCACTGTGAGGAAGGAGCAGCAGCTCACATGCACTATTCAGGATTCCCACAGTTTTTTCCTCCTTTAAGCCATAAAATTCCCCTTTTAAATGAATTTTTCCTCGTAGGGAAGTGTTTTATTTGCCCCTGGCTGGTGATGGATTGGATATTTGCTTATCCAAACGGTTTTCTGGGGTTTTTTGTCCCAACCTCTCTTCCAAAATTGGTTTTTTGGGTTTTTTTTTTTCCCAAATAGAAGAATGAGGATTTCTTATTTTGGGAACAAGGATGGGATATAACATCTCCTCCTGAGAGGCCGTTTCCCTTCTGCTGTCACAGTTCATGGACAAACCCAGAGTTCAGATGGGATTTTTCTGGAATGGGAAATCCTTTTTCCTGTAGAAGATTCCTGAACACCCCTGCTCTGTAGGGAGGGGAAATTCAGCAGGATTARGGGTGCAAACCCCACGAGCTCAGAGATTTTCCAGACAGCACTTGGCCTAACCCAGCATTCTCCAAATATTCTGATTTAAACCCTCCCTGCCATTACAAAAAAAATCTCCCATTTTCCAGTTTTTCTCCCTCTTTTCCCCAAAAAAATCCCCGAATTCCCTCCCCTTCCCCCAAGGTGCCAACTGACAAGCAGATGTACTGCAAAAGGGATACTGCAGCCAAAACACTGCTGTTTTATTTTGAATTAAAAGTCTTGTGGAGCTCTCTTCATACTAGAATATTTTTATTTTCTTTGTACAACATACAATCATGTACTCTTAACAGAGATTTACTTTAAAGAGAAGAAAGAAAGAAAAAAAAATCTGGAAGTATTC